TGATATGATTAGTGTTCCTCTTCTTATTCCTCCTCTTTCTCCTCCTCCTCCTCCTCCTCGTCATCATCATCATCATCACCCTCAGGTCCTGATGGTATTGCATTTCATCTCCACAACCATGCGCAGCAAGCGGCCAACAATGAGACAAAACCATATGGCATGGCAATATCTGCACATGGCCAAACACATACCATAAACGGTCTTCTCGCTCCCGGGTCACATAAGCTCGCGCACATCTCCGCACCCTCGCAAGGTCCCCCTGGATACGGGCAGCTATCCAGCCCTTGCCTCCGACGCGCGGAGCGCAAACATCTTCGCGCCCCTGGGGTTGCCGGAGCTGCTCTTCATTAGAAACATGATAGCATGACTTCGCATACTGTCTTCATCACATTTGTTTATCCTCGTCCGCGTCCTCCTGGTCCTCGCGCCGCCGCCAGGAGCAGTGCAGGTCTCTGCTCTCCTTTGGCCCCCGGAGGGTTGGCTCCTGCTCGCTCGCTCTCTCTCTCTGTCTCTCGCCCTCTCTCCGGAGCGAGCGCCGCGTCTGACTGTCGTCAGGCAGCGAGCGACTGATGGCCAGAGCGTGCAGCGGAAGGCCAGCTGCACTACGTCGGAGGGAGAGGGCTAGCTCGCCCGCCCCAAGGGTGGTGCGGAAGGCGGGCTACGCCTTCTTCCCCTCGTGCGCAGCAGAGAAGTGACGACTCCCTCTCTGGAGATGTTCGGCCTGGTGCTCGATGCTCTTACAGCCTGAAAACAAATCTTCTGCGCTCTCACAGGCACCCCAACGCCTGGGCGAAAACTGCTACCCCTAAAACAGACTCGATCTACTTTCGGAGCGCCTTGGATCGCGGGGAGGGGCTGGGAGCTCCTGGGAGCGCCTGGGAATGCCTCGGAGTGCCTGTGAGCGCCTGGGGGCCATTGGGAGCGTCTGGGGGCGTCTGGCCTAGGAGCGCCTCGGAGAGCCTGGGAGAGCCTAGGAGCATCCGCGGGCGCCTGGGACCCATTGCGTCGCCTGCGCCTGGGAGCGCCCCGGAGTGCATGGGAGCGCATGCGGGCGCCTGGCTTGGGAGCGTCTGGGAGCGCCTGGGAGCGCAGGAGGCGCCACGGAGCGTCTGTGAGCGCGTGGGAACGTTTGGGGGCGCCTTGAAGCGCCTGGGGGCGCCTGGGCACGCCTGGGAACGCCTGTGGGCGCCTGGCGGCGCCTGGGGAGCCTGGGCGCACTCGAGGCCGCGATCAGTTTGCGGGTTGCAAAGCACCTGCTTTCCCGAGGCGACGATCCTGGAGTTCCAGGAACTTCCCGGGAATCCGCCGACCCTGTCGGCGTGCGGAAGACGCTGTTAGGTTTGACTCGACGTCGTCGTCGTCGTCGTCGTCGTCGTCGTCGTCGTCGTCGTCGTCGTCGTCGTCGTCGTCGTCGTCGTCGTCGTCGTCGTCGTCATCATCGTCTTGTCGTCGTCGTCGTCGTCGTCGCCGTCGTCGCCGTCGCCGTCGCGTTTGACCCCCTTTCCCTGGGCCCGTCGCCGCTCCCCCCCTTGCACTGGGCCTCCTCCTCAAGCGAGCCAGCCAAAGCGAAATCAGAGCGAAGTTGAGCAACGTCGTAGTGGAGTCGAAAGGAACCCTTCCCCTTGATCCCGTCCTCTCCGGGGGAGGGAGGGGGAAGGGGTCCTGGGGGGGTCCCGGGAGGTCCTGGGGGGGGAACCCAGGCGTGAGGAGGGTCCTGGGGTCCTGGGGTCCAGCCCCCAAGACGGTCCAAGAGGGGCCCGAATCGCCGAACGTTCGGTCCAAGACGCCAAAGACGGCCTCCTGACAGCCCAAGCGGCTTCCAACACGCTCGAAAAGGCCTTCCAACCAAGAGGGCCCCAACAGGCAAAATCCTATGATTTCTCTGACACAAGGCCCCCAAAAGGTTCCCAAGACGGCCCAAAAACGACACAGGAGGGCCCCAAAACGGCCTTGGAGGCCTCTCGGACGGCCCAAAACGCTCCAAAACAGCTCTAAGAGAGTACCCACACGAGAGCCCAAACAAACATTTCGAGCCATCGGCCCCGAAAAGCCCCCAAGAGGCCCCCAAAAGGCCCCCACGAGGCCCCCACGAGGCCCCAAGAGGCCCCAAGAGGCCCCCAGGCCCCCGAGAAGCCCGAAAGGACCCCCAGGGGACCCCCAAAAGGCCCCCAACATGCCCCCAAGAGGCCCCTAAAACTGCCCCCTCTGAAGCCTACGATCGCGTTCCGAAGAGGCTGCACGAAGAATCACGAAGGACATTGCCCCACATCAGCGTCGTCGTCGCCGCCGACGCCGCCATCGCGGTCGTCGTCCCCCTTCCGGGTCGGCGGCACCGGCCGCAAGGGCTTGCCAATATTGAAATAGCCGCCATGAGAGCCTCAAGGGAACGCCAGGCGGCAACAGGAAAAATTGGGAGCATATATCTTGGCATGCTGACCCTGTACCACCCCGCGCGGGATGCCAGCTGACACGGTGCAACTGCGATAAAAGAAACGCGTGGATCTTTGAAGAATCATGGGCACCACGAAAAAAACGATGATTATTCTGTGCTTGAAGCCCGACGCGGCCTGAGGCAACCGAAAGCCCCGTCATTGTTTCACGCAGACCCAACCACAACCACCATCACCCCGCGCGGTGGTCGCGCAACGGGATGCCAGCTAATGTGACGCAGCTGCGACGCCGCCAAAGGAAGCGCGCGGAACTTTGATGAACCAGAGGAACCACGAGTGAATATGATGATGGTAAAGCGCTCTAAGAATCCTGGCTCGGCCTGAGGGATCCCGAGAAACCTCTGCGTAGCTCCCCGGCAGACCTTCCAACCCCTCCCTCTTGCGGAGGTCGCGCACCAGCCGACGCGCGAAGCGCGACCACCGCGCGCGACGCGCTCGGCAGATGACCAATCGCGCAGCAATGCGCAGTGCCCTAGCCGGGGAGCGAGACCCTGCCACCCATAATCGCGAAGCGAAAACCACCAACAGATCCCTTTGCGGAGGTCGCGCACAGACCGATGCGCGGAGCGCGACCCCCGCGACCGACGCGCGCGGCATGTCACCAATCGCACGCCCGAGTCGCGGGGCGAGGCCCCGCCAGCCTCAATCCCACAGCCAAGTGCCCTCTGGGACGCGAGGGCACGGAAGCGAAGAGGTAGCTGACTCTCGGGCGCAGCCGAAGCAGGCGCGGGTCGGCTTGGACACGAGCATCGCGAGCGCGCACAGGAGCACCCCACCCCACCCCACCCCACAGTCCGTCCTGTTGATAAGGGGATGCGCGCGCGCGTTCCTTGCCAGCTCTCTCCCGCTTTCTCTCTCTCTATCTCTCTCTATCTCTCTCGCTATATCTCTCTCTCTCTTTTTCTGTATCTCTCTCTCTCTCTCCCTCCCCCTCTGTCCGGAACGAGCGCCGGCCCTGACAATCGCTCAGCGGCGAGCGACCGAGGGTCGGAGCGTTCAGCGGAGTGCCAGATGCACTACGCCGGCGGGCGAGAGTTAGCTGGCCCGCCCCCCGGCGGCGCGAAGACGGGCGACGCCTCCCCCCCCCCTCGCGCGCAGCGCAGATATACAGACTCACTCTCTGTCTCTCGTCCGTCGGGAAGGGCTGGGTCACGAGCATCGCGAAGCGCGCACAGGAGCATCACACCCCAGACAATCCCGTGGAGGGGGTTGGGACGCGCGCGCGCATTCCACAACTGCACTTGTTTCTTGCTTGTGTTTTCTCTCTCTCTCTCTCTCTCATTATCCCTCTCTCTCTTTCTCTCGTTGTGTGTCTCTCTCTCTCTTTCTTTGTACATATATGTGTGTGGATATCACTGTTTGTACACGTGTGCACATCTACACGTGCGTACTCATACACTTATTCAGGTGCATGTACACACATAAACATGAACATGAACAAAAACAGAAACGCACAGATGAACATTTGCATAGACATAAACATGTACATACACGAACACATACATCTACAATTGCATATACAATGTATGTGCATATCCATGTGCATGTACATGTGCACGTGCATGTGCATGTACATTACATGTACCGTCACCTGTACATGTACAGATGTATACACGCATACCTAAACCTATACCTACACCTATGCATATACATATACATCGACATACACACATACATTTACAAATACATACATGTACATATACGTGCACGCGCACATGTACATACACACATACAAATACACATGCATAGACATATGGATACATACATATATATAGAGAGAGAGAAATATGTACACACAAAAATGTGCATCTACATGTGCCTATACAAGTGCATACACCTATACGTAAAAATGTACATGCGCATGTGCATGTACATATACATAAACAACTACATCTTAATTTACTGATACCGGTGCATGTACATATACATATGCATACACAAACATATACACATTTACACATACATATATACAAACATCTACATTTACACATACATATACGTACACATATACATGTGCAAAAAGCATCAAAGCATACATCTACATAGTCATATACACATGCATCTATTTACACGTATACAGATATCTCTACATACGCTAATCCTTGAACCTTAACCTATACCTATACTAACGCGAATGCGTGCACAAATACATATACATATGCACAGGCATATACATACGCAGAAAGTACGTACACATGTACATATACATGTACATATACATCAACGTATACATATACATGTAGGTATACATCTGCAGCGGCATCGATGTATACATGCACGTATGAAATATAAATGCACGTGTACGTGCGCATGCACATATACACGTACATATACATACGCAGATACGTATATTCATGCACATACACTCATACATATGCAAATACAGAGTCGTCGACATGTACATACACATGCGCATGTACATATACATAAACAACTACAGATCTACTTACAGATGCAGATAAATGTACTGATACATATGCATACACATACATACACACATGTACATTACATATACGTCCACTGTACACATACATTCTACATATTAGTATACATATGCATGTACATATACGTAAATACATGCCTATACATACACATGTGTTTAAACCTTGACTTGTCCATATACATACGCAAGTGTCTGTTCAATTACATATACATGTGCATAAGACACATTCCTGTGCGTCAGATACATACGTACACACAAACATGTATAGCTTCAAATGCACATCCATATGCATACACATGTATATGTACATCTAAAGAGGCGTGGATGTAGACATATACATATACAAAACGTATACCTACACATCGGCCTGAACATAACCATATATATACACACAGCCGTATACCATTACATGCAAATGCAAACAAACACCAACATATACACACATAGACACATACATATCAGTGTACAATTACACGTACACATATGCGAATACAAATATACGTATATAGGTATACCCATGTATATGTATAGGTATGCAAATACCTGCACCTGCTCATACGTATGTACATGTGTGTATACACATATGGACATACAAATACATATATATATATATACACATACACGTAAACCTATAAATATGTTTATTGCTGTATGCATATGCCTGCACATATATATATATATGTACATGTACATGTACATCTACACATACATATGCATACACATGCACGTATACTATTACAGTTTCACATATATATGTGTATATTTTTATATATACATACATCCGTACACCATCTCATTATTAGCATAATCCTCTGCCCCTCGCCTCTGTTCAGGTGGCTGGGGCATGGGCAGACCGCTTAATGGGACGGGATATACATGCCACCACTTGCCCCCCTCCCCACCACCCCGAGAACAGCGGGCTCATTTCGGGCAAAACGCCAGTCTTCCAGTTCAGCCCCACTTCGCAGGGGCTGCCCCCTGCGCCTGAGTTCTTGTAATCTCTCCACGATCAGCTTCCGACCAACCTCTTCCTCCTTCTCCTCCCCACCCCCTCCTCTTCCCCCTCCTGTTCCACAGAATGTAGATACCGGGAAACGTGAAGGGTCGGAATCCTGCATAGTCGGAACGCCCATTCCGCCAACATCGATCATGACAAGCGCATCGCGCTCGTCGTCGTAGATAATGTTGGAAGGCTGGAAGTCACCATGCTGAGATCACAATTTGATATTCGCCCTGCGTGGTCGCAAGGCAGAGGCACACTGAACCAACTGCGCACGCGACTGCATAAAGAAGGGAGGATGGAGCAGCAGGAGAACGGGCAATGGGAGGAGAGAAGAGTCTCAGCCTCTTCAGCAACCGAGCGCCGCGCCGCAAGTCGCGACGCCACCCATCTGCCGTCCTATACCCGTGTGCACAAGCCCCGCTGGCGCCGTAGCTGAGACTCCGCCGTAGCTGAGACTCCACGTGGGGTACAAGGTTCGTTTGGGTGGGCCAGCGGCTGCCGTCACTAGTATGCACACGCCCCGCTGGCTCAGAGGGTAGAGGTTTCCTCTTGGCGGTTTCCTGCTGCATCCCTCAGCAAAGGTGATAGAACGGTCAATGTGAGACGAACTTCTGCCCAGCAAGTACGAACTGTGAACCACGGAAGGCAGCAACGATTAAGAAATACCTACTCACGCCTGGAGAAGCACAATGTTGCGCAATGAATGGAATGTGTGTTCGATGAAAGATGGACGGGTAAAGCTGAACGAAGAGAACTGTGCGAAGGGCGACGAGTGCGAGTCTAGATTGTCCCATCCGCTATACAAGTATGGCTTCCTACGCTCGAGAGGTATACTGGGCAGAACTGGCGACACTCTCGACGAGGTCTGCAACATGCGCGATGGACGATAGATGAAGTCCAGCACACGTCCAAGTGGTGAAGAAGGCTCTGAAAAGATGAGATGGGCCAGGAGGCTGTTTTTTTCTTGGGATCGGCGATAACCTGGGTTATCTGGGGCGTGGGGGGAAAGGCCTGGCCGATATCCGAAACTTCGCGCTGTCGGCAGCCCCGCATGGAGCGCGCGCCAGTGCTGCGGCTCCTACAGCTGCTAACGATGCTGCGACGATGCTACTACCCGTGCTGCGACGATGCGGGCGCCGTCTGGGAGTGCCGAAAGATGTGTGTATATATATATATAGATATATATGTAGCGGCATGTGTGTATATATATATAGAGAGAGAGATATCGAAATGGACCTGCTCAACCGACAGGGTGAGGCTATCCGGGGGGAAAGGGGCGAGCCCGATAGCCCGGGGCATCGCTGGACCCTAGAAAAAACAGCCGACATGGTGGAGCAAAAACAGAAAATTCACAGAGGTGGCAGTGTCAACACTAGGTTATTGATGGAGGAAATGAGGCAACACATGAAAATGAAGTGGCTGGCCGAAGGACTGCATGGAAAGAGAGCGGACACCAGGTGACTGCTTCAGAGAGTGGGCACGAACACGAGCAAGGGCAGCTGCCCTCCACCTACGGAGCCCAAGTCATCATCATGCGTCCCTACTCTTTCGATGCCTCCTCTGCCCCCTTCAGCGAGTATCCTGAACGCCCGAATAACGCGTGTGGAACTCTCCGAGGCAGGTGCCTAGCCGCTCCAGGAGGCGCATGATCTGGCTCACCTGTGCTCTGCTAGCGTGGGGCGATGCGCGAACACTGATTGACTTGTTCACTAGAGCCATATATATATATGTGTGTACACACATGTATGTGCATATATAAATATATACTAGAACCACGCGCGCGCTTCGCGCGCGCTTAGGTTCTAGCTAGGAGGCGAGCTTGAGTCAACGAAAGTCGCAGGGAAGGGGGCAGGGGGAAGAAGGCCAGAGAGCGCTGAAGGATACAAATACTGGAACCCTCTTGTGATTTTGTGGGGGGCCTCGTCCGGCCGCTCGCTGGGAGTTTGACGTAGCTTCTCGGGAGCCTCTGAACCTGTCGGGGGCCTCCTGGAAGCAGGTTCGAAGCATTTTGGGGGCCGATTTGGGGCTTCTCGGGGCCTCCTTTGGGCCTCTTGGGGGTCTCCTGGGGCCTCTTGAGGGGCCTCCTTGGGGCCTCCTGGCGGCCTCTTGGGGCGGAAGGCTCGAGCTTGCGGTTCGTGGTCCCCCTCTGGGCCCCCTCTTGGGCCCGTCTTGGGGCCCTCTTGGGCCATCTTGGGCGCCTCTTGGGCCGTCTTGGGGCCCTCTTGGGCTGTCCTGGGGCCCTCTTGGAAGCTTCTTGGGCCGTCTTGGGGCGGTCTTGGAGGCCTCTTGGGCCGTCTTGGACGCGGTGAAAGCCCAAGATGCGAACATGCGAAAAATATACGTTTTCCCATAGGAATGGCACGATTTTTGTTTCTTGGACCTCTTGGGGTGCCTCTCGGAACGTCTTGGGCTGATTTTGGAAGCCTTTTGGCGCCTCTGGGTGGCGTTTTGGCGCCTCCTGGGATATGTTGGGCCGGAAGCTCGGAATTCGAGAGTGGCTTTCTCCTTCTGGGACCCCTCTCGAAGTCGTCTTGGGGTTCTCTTGGGCCGTCTTGGGGCCGTCCTGAGCCACTCGTGCGCAGCCTTGGAGCGCTCCCGGAGGCCTCCTAGGCCGTCTTGGAGGCCTCTTGGGCCGTCTTGGACGCGGTGAAAGCCCAAGATGCGAACATGCGAAAAATATACGTTTTCCCATAGGAATGGCACGATTTTTGTTTCTTGGACCTCTCTTGGGGTGCCTCTCGGAACGTCTTGGGGTGCTTTTGGGAGCCTTTTGGCGCCTCTTGGCGGCATTTTGGCGCCTCCTGGAGCCTCTTGGGCCGGAAGCTCGGAATTCGAGGTTGGCTTTCTCCGTCTGGGACCCCTCTCGAACTCGTCTTGGGGCTCTCTTCGGCCGTCTTGGGGCCGTCCTGGGCCACTCGTGCGCAGCCTTGGAGCGCTCCCGGAGGCCTCGTAGACCGTCTTGGGCGCCTCTTGGGCCGTCTTGGACGCGGTGAAAGCCCAAGAGGCGAACATGCGAAAAATATACGTTTTCCCATAGGAATGGCACGATTTTTGCTTCTTGGGCCTCTCTTGGGCTGCCTCTCGGAGCGTCTTGGAGGCTTCTGGGACCTTCTTGGTGTCATGACAGGCGTCTTGGAAGGCATCTGGAGCCATCGGAGCGCGTTTCGAAGCCGCCTGCGAACGATCTTGGACGGCGTCCGGCGGTCCGACGAGCCTCCCGGCCCCCCGGAGCCCACATTTGTGGTCGGGGTCCCGGCCCCGGGCCCCCGGACCCGGTGCGCCGTTATATGTATATACATGACTACACAAATACATGTATATACATATATATATATATATGCGAAAGAGAAAGAGCAAGAGAAAGAGGGAGAGGGAGAGACAGAACGAGCGAGATGAAAGAGAGAGAAAGCAACAACAACATCAACAACAACAACAACAACAACAACAACAGCAACAGCAACAACAACAAACATCAGGCAGAATCCGCTCCAAGTGCAAGACGCGGGAGAACCGACCCTGAATTGACCGCCCTCGCCAAACGGCCAGCAAACGATCGGCATGCCCACCAAATCTTCCTGCTCGTTGCGCATCACTTCGCACTTACGCTCCACAACAACTCCGAAGCAGTCTCAGACGATGCTGGATATCAGACCAGACGGCCCGCTGCACAATACAGTAAATGTTCGGTCGAGTCATACCAGATTGTTCTGGAATTATCCCAAATGCCTTTCGGCCAGGCCCGCGCGTGCGCGCGTTTCTGGTATCATCCCACGACGATTCTAACGCAATCCAGGACAGCTCGAGCTTCCCTGGCATGGTACCAAGTTCTCCCGGTCTGATGCCCAGCGTCGTCTGGGGCAATAACTGGGAATTCCGTGGCTTGGCAGTGCGAGGTGACAGGGGGAGCTGACGCGCTTGCTGCCAAACTAGAGGTGCATGGTTTAACTTGGTTCTACTTGGAAGCGTGGTTCGAGCCTCATCTGACAGCCTCACCAACGGTTTGTGGCCTCGCCTCCCCTACCCTTCCCTACTCCCCTCTCCGCCTAGACACTTTTCCTCCCCCCACCCATCCTGGAGGAGGCGAAGCTCGCACGCGCGGAACTCGCAGGCACGGAATTCGCACGCACGGAATTCGCACGCATGGACCTCGCCCGAGGCGGAACTCGCACGGGGCGGGACTAAGGAACTCGCACGCGGCGGACTGGCACGGACAGAACTCGCACGAAGCAAAACTCCCAAGGAAGGAACTCGCACGAGCGGAACTCGCACGCGGCGGGACTCGCACGGACGGAACTCGCACGAAGCAGAACTCGCACGGACGGAACTCGCACGAGGACGCGGCGGAATGAAATGGAAGGATACGGAGGGGTCAATCTCTATCTCTCTCTCCTCTCTCTCTCTCTATTTCTGTTTCTCTAACTCTCTCTCTCTCTCTCTCCCCCTGTCTCTCAGGAGAAGCCCTTGCAAGAAAATAACTTGAGCTTTTGCCCCAGACCTCTCGACTCCCTTCCCCGGACCAGCTCTTCATCCTGGCTTGCAGTTGGCGGTCCCACGGCGCTGAAGCGACCTCTGGACGCAGAGGAGGAGGAGGAGGAAGAGGAGGAAGAAGAGGACTCTGGCGCGATGTGTTCGAGTCGCCAAAGGCTCCTGAGGTCTCCAGAATCTTCCGGAGATCTCTCTGGAGGTCACCGGGTCCCGGGCAGCTCTCCGCAGAAGCCCATGGAGGTCTCCGAAGCGACAAATCAAAACTGAACAGATACTGAACAGAAACTGAACAGAAACTGCTCAAACTAAACATCCCAGGGCTCGACCGAAACAGTGCTTTTCGCTTTCGTTTTGTGTTCGCTTTCCCTCGTCTTGTCTCCCATCCGCCTCTGCTGCAAAACGAACTCGAAACGAAGAAAGCCCACGAAGTCGTCAAAAACCGTTCAGGTCGACCCCTGAAACAAAACCTCTGTCCTCGACCCCGGAAACTCAAAACAACAGCTGCACCGTCGAACTGGGCCGGAAGAGCATCCTTCGAGGACACGAGACCCTCCGCCAGCCAAGGCACACAGAACCTCCAAGGCTACCCTCCCCAGGATGCACGAGGACACCCCGCAAGCACGAAGAACACCAGGGCACCCTCCCCGAACCGACATCGATCTTGTGCCGTGGTCCGACTCTAGTCTGACGTCGGGCGTGTCCCCCTACAGGGGGATTTTCGGCGAAAACTCAAAAATACCCCCAAAATACCCAAAGAGGGTAAAAACAAAATACTCGAAACATAGTCCCCTGACTATTGTTTGACATTTTTTTACTATTTGGGGGGTATGTTTTATCTTTCGCCGAAAATCCCCCCTGTAGGGGGACAGGCCCGACTTAACTCTAGTCCTCACCGCCCTCGTGGGCGCCCCCCTCTTGGGCGCCCCCCTCTTGGGCGACTCTACAGTCAAAACGTTTATTAAGGACGGGTGGTAAGGACGCAAGACCCTTGGAGGCCGAAGTTGGGTTGTTTTGGGGCGGGGGGCGGCCAGTGAAAACGGCGAAGGACGGGCCGCAGCGGCAAGGACTCGAGGGTACCCTAGATGAAGGCCCGCGTCCTTACTAGGGGCGTTGACTCCAGTCCTCACCCCCCTCTTTGGGCGCCCCCGACCAAAAAAAAAAAAAAAAAAAAAAAAGGCAGGGGAGACCTGCGCAAGGGCGGTGGGCGGCGAGCCAGGGCGCCTCGGGGGCCAGGGGGCGCCGCGGGCCTGCTCCCGAGGCCTCGTCGGCGTCGTCGTCGTCGTCGTCGTCGTCGTCGCCGTCGTCGTCGTCGTCGTCGCTCGTCGCTCGTCAACGTCGTCGCCGTCGTCGTCGTCGTCGTCGTCGATCGTCGTCGTCGACCGTCGTCGATCATCGTCGTCGTCGTCAACGTCGTGGGGAGGAGGCGCGACGGGACGCCTCTGGGAGCGGAGCGGCCGCGCGGGCGCGTCGCCTCCCCGCGGTACCACTTCCGCGCGATCACCTCCGCCAGGCGCTCCCCGCGGACCTCTGGAGGCGCAGGGCCCCCTTCTCGGAGGGGGGGCGCGGGGGCGAGGCGAGGGCCTCTCGGAGGGGGATCGAGGCGGGAGGGTCGAGAGCCACGAGGGAAGGGAGGGAGGGGAGGGGCCTCCTCCTCCTCCTCCTCCTCCTCCTCCTCCTCATCCTCCTCCTCCTCCTCCTCCTCCTCCTGACGTTCCTGGCGTTTCTCGCTACACAGCGTCTTGTCGCGCGCCCCGCGGGCGCGGAGCGCGCCGCAGCGGCCCACAAGGGCCGTGCGGGCACTCGAACAGCGGCCCCGGGAACCCGACCCCGAGGAGAGCAGGGAGGACCAGGGACCAGACTTAAACCTCAGAGGAGGGAGGAGGGGGCCAGGTTTCAGAAAAAAGAGGGGCCCGTCAGGGCCCCTGGGCGGGCGTCGCGCGCGCCCGCGCCCGCGGGCGTCAGGCAGCGCGGCACGGCGCACGGCCAGGCCGACGGCCTCTTCGTGGGCCGGCGGCCGCACGGTGGCGGCTGGGCTCCCTTCGGCGCGGCGCGCTGAGCCCAGCCGCCGTGGGGGCTGCTTCGGGTGACTGGCTGCCCCCCGCAGTGGCGACCTCCACCCTTCGGCGCAGCGCGCTGTGGAGGCTCGCCGAGCCGCTCGTGGGCTCCAGCAGGCTTGCACTGGCGACTGCTCTCTCATCAACGTGCCGACTAGGGCCAGCTGGCCTCGGCCCCTCGCATGCCACGCGAGGGCGGCGGGGATACACCCTTCGGCGCCTCGCGCTGTGTATCCCACGCCGAGGGGCAAGCTGCCCCTTCTCTTCTGGTAGGCTCTGATGTGCTCGAGCCTGCAGTACTGCTTGACTGTGTAGTGCTCGAACTTGTATTCCTCGTCCCAGTCGCGCTGGTCGGGGTGGTACTCCTGCATGTGCCATGTCCAGTCCTGCTGGTCATCATAGTAACCAGCCGTGGTATTTCCAATGCCCTCAGCCATGTCGCCCCCGACGCTACAGTACAGGTAGGCGCTGATGTAGAGGAGTGGTTGTGATGTGGCGGTCGTTTGTTTGTTGGTTGAGTGTGGGTTGTGGAGCGTGCTGGTTGGGTCGTTGGGGAGTCGGCTCGTTGCTGGTGTTGCGTTGATGGTCGTGGGCGTCCATGGCCTCCATGCACCGACTTCAAGTGGGGGTCTTGGCTGTCCCACCTCGTCCCGCTATGGCTAGGGGTCACAGTGCCCTCGGTGGGGGCGAACCCCAGGCCTGGTACTTATTATTGTCGGAGTGGAATGTCTCGGCTGTCCTGTGCTTCGCCCTCGGGCGCTCGGGTAGCTCCTCCTTCTCCATGGGAATGGTGGGGGTGGCGAGCTAGGGCGGACCGCGGGGGCGCAGGTAGTGGCCGTCCTACCCCCCCCCCTGCCCCTCACCATCCCCCCTGGTGGGCGCGGGAAGTACTCGTCCTTCCCCCCCGCCCTTCGAGCCCGTCTCGAGGTTTGATCCATGCCTCACCAGGGCAGCGTTGACTTGACAAAGGGTGTGCAGGGCCGTGCTGGGTATGATGTCAGTGTCGGACAGCAGTGCGGCAGCGTCGTGTGGATCACCCGCTTCCAGCCAGCTGGTGTCCTCCGAGTTGTATGTAACCAGTCACCGCCAGGATACCCACAGCAAAACGTAGCGACCTGTGCCTGGGGTGTTCCCTCGCATACGGGGCTTCCCCAGGACTTGCGTCCTAACCCAAGCAAAACTTGGCGACGCTGCCTGAGGTCTTCCCACGCATTCGGGGCTTCCTCAGGACTTGAGCCATAACGCCGCAGTGCTTGTCGCCGAGGAAGCTCTTTGCCACGAATGTACTGCCGTATCCACAGTGACCGTGCCCATGCCTGTGGTGTTCGAAGTAGTGCAGCATAGGGCCCGTAGTCATACTTGTCTCAGTAGCACCACCACATGATGTGCTTGACCCAAGCGTACTGGTCGACATGATGGTGCTTGACTCCACGCTGCATTGGACTGGGATGCTCGGCTCCCACATGCTGCTCGCTGATACTGCTTGACCTGCTTGCAATGTAGATGCGCGGGTCCGGGTACTCTCGACGGTTTTGCTGCCCGCCTGCGAAGAGATGTCCAGAGATGTCGCAACATATACGGTGGGGCCTGGGCGCAATGCTGCCCTTACCCAGGGCGCTAGATACTCATAGAAAACAGATGCCAGAGTTGAAAGAAAAGCCCATAAAAATCCAGTAGAAATACTCGATGGGGGGGGCACGCTCCGTCGCCATTGAGGGATCGTGCCCACCCGTATGGGCGCTACGGGTCCCCCCCCCTCGAGAATGGCACGCAATCGCAGTCCATGACGAAGCCATGCTGATGAACAAATATCCTCTCAGGTTACTCCCAGTTTGAGTACATACAGTAGGTACGCTGACCCTCTCTCGCCTGCTGCCACTCTGTAATATTACCAATCTGTACACCATTCTGTAATACAAACTGCAGTCCAATCTGTAAGCTGCCAATAAACTGTGCACCAATCTGCAACCTGATGGTCCGTCCCGTGGACTGGCAAAAATGAAATAATACAGACAACAATTTATCCCAAATATTTGTGCAGGCAGTCGTAGTACCGCGCGCTGCAGTGCCAATTGCTAGCGCCGGTGGGTACCCCATGTCCTGTGACAGTCGTGGCCCAGCTGCTCTGGCTCGATGTAATAGTCCAGGGGGGCATAAAACCTGTGGTAGCATTCATCCGTTTCGGCCCACAATGTCTCTTCGTCAGCGAGCTGCCCCCAGTGGGCTGCGAAGGCCGTTGCCATTGCCTTGCACAACTTTGAAGGATATTCTTTGAGGGGGGCGGTCCTCCAGCCGCCCTGGCCGTCTCGTCCGTAAGCTCTGTCGTGTCCGTTATGTCGGCACCGCTGTCCCCCAGGTACTGCCCCAAGTTCTTGTGTGAGTTCGCTGAGGTGCACCGCCATCAGACCTCCTCCTCCTCCTCCTCCTCCTCCTCCTGGGCGCTGGGCGCTGGGCGCTGGAGGCATCCGAGCCCCTAGGGACGCTGCCACGCCCCGCCCCCGCCCCCAGGGGCGGTTGCCCCGGGGGGGAACCGGGGAGGGAGGGATCGGGGCGGGAGGATCGAGGAGGGGAGGATCGAGGATCGAGGCGGGAGGAGGGGAGGGAGGGAGGGATCGAGGCGGGAGGATCGAGGAGGGAGGGATCGAGGCGAGAGGAGCCAGGAGGGGAGGGAGGGAGGGAGGATCCAAAGAGGGGTCGCGGGATCGAGGATGCCCCGCGGACCAGGAGGGTCGAGGTGGGAGGATCAACGACCAGGGGCAACGAGAGGGGGGGGGGACCTGGCTCAGAGGGCGAAACAGGGACCTGGAATCGGCGACACGTCGCCGATAGATCGCCCCGACCGCGAAACCGCACCTTCCTGGGCGGAGCGGGCAATCCCAGGAGAGTCCGAAGGCCTCCTGAATGGCCTTCAGAGACTCCAGGATGGCCCTAGAAAGCTGCCAAGAGGCTCCTACGTGGGAAAAAACGCGAAGGCATTTCTGGTTGACTCCTGGATCTGCTCAGGCTGATCCCACACTTCGGTCCGACGGCTGCCCCCCCTCTTTGTTCCACAGGTTGCTCCTACACTTTCCTGATCAGGACAACTCGCCTGGGAATCGTCTCTGGGTGGCCTGGTGGGGATATGACAAGCGTCAAGAATCACAACGCACGCTTGAAATCCTGAATTTGGAGAGAGAGAGAGAGAGAGAAAAAAAAAAAAAAAAAAAAAACAACAACAACAACAACAACAACAACAACAACAACAACAACAACAACAACAACAACAACAACAAAACAACAACAACAACAACAACAACAACAACAACAACAACAACAACAACAACAACAACAACAACAACAACAACAACAACAACAACAACAACAACAACAACAACAACAACAACAACAACAACAACAACAACAACAACAACAACAACCACCACAACAACAACAACAACAACAACAACAACAACAACAACAACAACAACAACAACAACAAAACTCGGGACGCTGTCAGAGGAGAGGGGAGCGTGGTGCTGGTAATGAGTAGTTGTGGAGGCAAGGGGTATGAGTGGATGGGACATTCGTTTACGCGCGCCAGATACGTATTCCAAGCTCGAAAGAGGACCCCAGACTCGATACTAGGCATTGCCTTGATCAGCTTTACCAATCGCCGCGGTCGGCCGCGGAGGCGAAGGGGGCCCTCGAGAGCAAAACGGGCAACTCCGCTCACGAATCCGGAGGTCTCTGAAGATCTCTGGAGGCTTCCTGAGGTCTCCAGAGGCCTCGGGGGTGCCCCAGAGGCCTCTGGAGGACGAGAAACTGCAAAGAACGTCCGGGAGCCCCGATCCGCCAGAATGAGTCGGGGATCTGCTGACACGGGTCATGCCAGACCCGGGTCAGTCAGGCCTTGCAGGATCCTGCAGGATCCTGCACCCCAACCTGGGTCAGAGCGACCCTGGCCCTGCAGGATCCTGCAGGATCCTGCACCCAAGCCCGTGTCAATCCTGCAGGATCCTGCAAGATCCGGCGCTCTGGCTGACCCCGTTTGCATTGACCCCCGTCTCTTGAGCCCCGAATAAACCAATGGGCGTCCCCTCCGGGCCTTTCGTCGGCGCACACAAGGGGGTAGGGAGAGGAGGGAAGGCTTCTTAGAAGACGGCTGTGTTTTTTTTTTTCTCAGAGACGGCTGTCTCTGAGAAGGCGCCGACCGCCCTTCTAAGAAGCCAGGGGCGCGCCGCTTCTTAGAAGCATCCCAGCAACTTCTTAGAAGCACATAACTGCTTCGTAGAAGCAAAAGCAGCTTCGTAGAACCAAACCACCTGCTCCTTAGAAGCGCGCCAGAAACAGCTTCTACGAAGCAGCCACATGTCTCCTTAGAAGGGGCCCCCACGCCTTATGAGAAGGGGGCGGGGCTTCTAAGAAGCCTTCCCCCCTACCCCTACCCCCCTCTGCGCGTGGCCGAGCCTTGCGCATGACGATCAGGTCGTGGCTCCTGGCGCCGCCCGGGCCGACCACGGCCAGCACCTTCACGGGGAAGGCCAGCGCCGGGTCACTGGTCGCCTGCAGCTGGCGGTGGGGTGTCGTGAGGAGCAGGAGAACGAGGAGGAGGAGGAGGAGGAGGAGGGGGAGGATCGAGGAGGAGGAGGAGGAGGAGGATCGAGGATCGAGGATCGATAATGAGGAGGAGGAGGTGGAGGAGGATCGAGGATCGAGGAGGAGGAGGAGGAGGAGGAGGAAGAGGAGGAGGCGTTTTCCGGTCTTTCGTGGCCTCTGGAAGCCTCCGAAGACCTCCAGAGACCTCCAAGGACCTCTGGGGCCTGGGGGGGATAGGAGGGGAGGGGAGGGGAGCGGAGGGGAGGAGAGAAGAGTGGAAGAGGGTGGAAGAAGAGGGGAGGAGGGAGAGAGGGGAGCTGATCGCGGCAGACGAGGAGACGAGAGAGGAGGGAAGAGCAGGAGCGTACTTGGTCGGGCGGCCTCGCGAGGCCCATAGTAGAACGCACCTGGAAGCGCATCTGCCACCGTGCCTCGAGACACGACGTGGAGTGTCCTCAAGTCCATTCGAGCTCACACGAGCACCAACATCAACACAGGGGATTGCCTCACACAGGGACAGATGATCCCAGATTTCGGTGTTGGTGGTAATGGTTCGGCCACCTAGGAGCCCGAATACTACCACCACCACCGAGATCGGGAGCAGCTTCCCTCGGTGGAAGCACACCGCCAATATATGGGCGGTGCCGACCCGTGGGCCTCCGTCCCCTCTGTGGAACTGCCGCGAGGCACGAGTTGGAGTGCCCGCAGATCCTCGAGTCCCCTGCCCGATCCGCTGAGCCTGTCCTCAGTCCCGAGGATACTTTGGAGGGGCCCGAGCCCCCGAAGCTCTCACATCTCCCGGGGCCCCCGGGCGCGCCCAGGCCGCCCTCCCGCATGACCCTGTCGGGCCCGACAGGCCCCAGAGACTCGCCAATGGGGCCCCAGGAGGCCGCTCGGACGGTCCAACGGGGCCTCGAGTCGCCGAACGATCGGGGCGGGGTGGGCCGAAGGCCTCGAGATCCGCCGCCCCCATGTTTGCTTGCCTCGGGGGTGCACGGCGTGTTGTATGTTCGGTAGTTGTTGGTCTTCGTTCAATTCCCAGCGAAGTCTCGGCCCAACCCGACGGCCACCCGAAAGGCCGCCGGGAGCCGCTGAAAGTGCGTCCCCTATTGCCCGAATCGCCGCCAAGATGGCCCAGGATGGCTTCCAGGACGGCCAGGGTGGCCAAAGATCGCCCAAGATGGCTTCCAAGACGGCGTGCTTGAGGTTCGGCAGTTACTGGTCCTTCTTGAGATGAGACGCAAAGAGACATGCTAGTACTATATGTTATCCTCGGAGGTGCGTGTCCGACCCGAACATATAGTGTACCCATCTTGTAGTACATCATTTCCTGAGCGGTACGGCCAGAAAGCGCCCGCCGCGACACATGTACGATAAGATTTCTCGGTGCCGGCGCACATATAGTATAAGTATGTCGGGGTGACGCCGATGAGAGTTCCCACTGCGTCTTCGGCCGATCGCGCCGGGCCCGCGGGGAAGGAAGCAGAGCGCTCCCGTCGGCGGGGGCTGCCCCGTGAGGGCTCTCAAACTTCCCAGGTCCTCGGCCGTCCCGCCGCAGGCGGCCCCAGGACGGCCTCCCAGGCGGCCAAGATGGTCTCCAAGACGGATTACGAGCGGCCCCAGGAGAGCCCAAGATGGCCGCAGGGTGTCTCCAAGACGGGCCGAGCTGCCCCCAGGATGGCCTCGGATGGCCTCAGGATCGTCCAAGACAGCCCGAGAGGCCTCCAAGACGGCCCTAGAGGCCTCCAAGAGAACCTCCAGGAAGGCCTGAACAGGCCAAAATGACTGACTTGCCATGGGTTTTGTAAGGATTTCGGCGGTTGCTCATTTTCGGTTTTCCGACGGCTCAAGACGGCCCCAGAGGCCACCAAGATGGCAAGAGCGCCCAAGAGGCCTCCGACATGGCCCCCCATGATGCTCACGAGGCCATCAAGACGGCCGAACAGTCGTCCAAGACGCCCACGATGGCCTCCACGACAGCCCTGAAGCGCACCAAGAGGGCCCCAAGTCGGCCTTGAGAGACCCCCAAGATGGTTCCGACGGCGTCAGACGGGCCAGGAATGCCATCAGACAGCCAGAGAACCTCCCAAGGAGCCTCCAAAGGCCCCGAAGATCCAGGAGGCCTCCAGGAAGCTCCCAGAAGGCCAAAGACTGCCCCGAGAGGCTCCCAAGAGGCCTCCTCCTCAACCCCACGTCCTTGTGCATAACTCCTCCATGTCGCACACCGAGGCCGGTCGAAAGGGCGGGCTGGGCAATTTGCCCGAGACTTCCTCACCACTCACGCTCCTGGAGCTTCAAATTTGCAACCGCTTCATGGATGGAGGACGGTCCGCTTTCAAATTGTTGCTCTCGCCGCCTTAGCGCCGCGCACAGTCGTGCTAGATCACTGCACGAGCTTCACGAGTGGAGGGCGGCCTGCTTTCAAAATGTAACTCTCTCACTCTCTCCTTGGCGCCGCGCATGTATTGCATTTCGGAGAACTGCAAGAGCTGCACGGATGCAGGGCGGTCCGATTTCAAAATATTGCTCTCGCTTTCGCGCCGCGCACATCCGTCTTAACATGTTGCAAAGAGCTTCACGGATTGAGGGCGGTTCCTTTTCAAAATGTGGCTCTCGCCATTGCGCCGCGCAAGATCTGCGTTAAGAGCTAGAAATAATGTCAACGACTCTGACACGACGTCGGCGCGTCAGGGCTCAACAGTCACGTTGATTCGCGGTGCTGAAGTCCCAGGTCTGGTGTTCTGGCACGACTCGGGATCGTCAAGACGCAACAATGACGTCGATTCGCGGCGTTGAAGCCCCAGGAATGCTATTCTGGCAGAGTTCCGGACGTTCAAGCGGTTGCCTTCCAACGGGACACTTCCCTCAGTGAAAGTGAACCCTTCGATGAGGACCTATGCAAGGGGGAACTTGGAGGGAGGATGGATTCCAATATCGTTCATGGGTCTTTGGTTCACACTGGTCCTCATCCTCCTCGTCATCCTCCTTGTTCCTCACTCTCCTCCTCTTCTTCTTTCTCCCCCACGTAATTCCCAAGGGTTTCCACAACGGCGGCTGGGGCAGCACGTAGTCCCATAGCTTGGCCGAGTTCTGGCGGCAACGTTCGGCCACATAGGCTCATCCAAAGGCAGGGGGCGGCGGTGATTCGTCGTAAGCATCTTCGACACTGTATACCTTTAAAGGGTTCATACCCTCGTGTTCCGGGCGCGGCCGGAAAATACTGGGCGCGTTATTGGATGTCCTTCGCGTGACATTTTCCGGAGGCAAGAAGACCCCAAGACATGCCAAGAGGGCCCCAAGATGCCGCCAATACGGTCCAAAGGGGCCCCGATTCGCCCAAAGATCGCGGCAAGAAGTCCAAGATGGACTCCAGACGGTCCAAGAGGCCTCCAAGACGGGCCAAGAGGTATCCAAGAGAACCTCCAGCAAGGGTCGAAGAGGCCAGCATCCTTGATTGTCCATCGGTTTCAAATCATTGTAGCATTTTCACCCTTCTGGGCTTCCGACTCGCTCAAAGGCAGCCTTAAGGGGTCCCAAGACTGCCTACTAGGGCCCCAAGCCCAAGACGGCCCCGACAAGGCCCCAAGAGGGCCCCAAGAATGGAAAATCGAACTGACATTTCGCAGGAAGCCCCCCCCCCCACCCGCCCCAAGATGACCCCCGAGACCGCCAGAAGACCCCCAAGAGGCCTCCCAGAAGCCCCAGGAGGCCCCCAAGAGGCCCGCAAGAGGCTCCACGGCACCTCCAAAAAAAGCGCCTCCAAGGGACTTCCTAGAGGCCAACGGGCATCCAAAAGGCCTCTGACCTATAACCCAGGCACGGCGGCGGGATGGGCCGAAGGCCTCGAGATCCGCCGCCCCCATGTTTGCTTGCCTCGGGGGTGCACGGCGTGTTGTATGTTCGGTAGTTGCTGGTCTTTGTTCAATTCCCAGTGAAGTCTCGGCCCAACCCGACGGCCACCCGAAAGGCCGCCCAAAGCCGCTGAAAATGCGTCGCCCGTTGCCCAAATCGCCGCCAAGATGACCCAAGATTGCATCCAAGACGGCCAAGGTGGCCAAAAATGGCTTTCAAGACGGCCAAGATGGCCTTAGGATCGTAGGCGCCCAAAAATCACGTCAAGATGGCCAAAGAGGCCGCCCCGACGGCCCAAGCGAGCTCCGAGAGGCCCCCCCCAGAAGAGCCCAAGAGGCACAAATCATTGATGTCCCTGAGTTGTTCGAAAGATTCTGGCGTTTGCCCATGTTCGGCTTTCCGACGGCTCAAGACGGCCCCAGAGGCCATCAAGATAGCCAGAAGAGCGCCCAAGAGGCCTCCGAGGTGGCCTCCTGACGGCCCAAGAGGCCCCCTAGACGGCCCCAGGAGGGCTCCAAGACGGCCCAATAAACCTTCAAGACGCGCAAGATGGCCTCCAAGACGGCCCCGAAGCGCCCCAAAAAGGCCGCGAGTCGGCACTGAGAGGCCCCCAAGACGGCTCCCGACGGCGTCAGACGGGCAAGGCACGCACTCAGACGGCCAAAGCGCCCCCCAAGGAGCTTCTAAAGGCCCCCAGGAAGCCCCCAAGGCGCCTCCAAGAAGCATCCAGGAAGCCCTCAGGGGGGGCCCGAGTGTGCCCCAAGAGCCTCCCAAGAGGCCTCCTCCTCCTCCTTATCATCCTCATTTGTCCGTCCTCTCCTCCTCCTCCTCCTCCTCCTCCTCCTCCTCCTCCTCCTCCTCCTCCTCCTCCTCCTCCTCTTCTTTCTCCCACGCGTGCTCCCCGAAGGGCATCCGCAACGACTGGGAGAGCACACAGTCCCATAGCTTGGCCGAGCTCTGACCGCAACGTTCGGCCACATAGGCGTTTCCAAAAGGTAGGAGCGGTCATGATTCGCCGTGGGCATCTTCGATCCGCCGCCCCCTGCTGGCTCGCCATCGGGGTACACGGCGTGCTGGATGTTCGGTAGTTCTGGCCCGCTTAAAAAAAGTTAGCA